GGGTTTTGAACATCTCCAGAGATTGGATTCCAAATTTTAATATTCCTCACCCCCTGCTAGACCTTGCATCTGCTGACTAGCAAAACACAAGGTCCTTCAACTTCCAGTGACAATTGAAAACATTGGTATAGAATATAGAATCATTTATGTTGGAAAAGACCTTTTTAAGATCATCAAGTCCAACTGTTAACCTAACACTGCCAAGTCCACCTCTAAACCATGTCCCCAAGCACCATGTCTGCTATCAAAGTTCTTCTCATAACCAATCCCAGCTGAACCCAAACCCCAGCACTGTTCCAGCTGCTGAACAGAAACCAGCTCTGGCCCAGCTACAAACCAGGACAACAGGAATGACTCAGATTTTCAGCAGCAGTTGTTTCACGCTGACCTGTCTCCTCCTCTCTCCTCTCCTCATGCGGTGACAGCTGGGAGGAGCGTGCCTGCTGGGAGTTGGGATCTGGGTCATCGTGGATCCTACAGGTTTTCGAGAGATAGTGGCTGCCAACCCTCTGCTCTTCACGGGAGCCTACATCATGCTGGCTATGGGAGCCATGCTCTTCCTGCTGGGTTTCCTTGGCTGCTGCGGTGCCATCCGTGAGAACAAATGCCTCCTGCTTTTTGTAAGTTTTCTGTTGATGTTTCCCAAGGATGGGGGTGACTGGGTAGTTGATGCTGTGATAAGTGCATCATGAAGAGGTGTCTGTTATTGTGGCCATTATTCCCTTAGATAATATATAGGTTTAGGGCACTTTATAGCCAGAAATACAGAGAATTTGCTTCTTCCCTCTACCAGGCTTGAGCCCAGTAGATACGGAGCCTAGGAGTGTATTTTGACTTTGTTAAGCTTTGTTTCAAAATAGTCCTATTTATTGTTTATTTGTTTTATTTATTGATTTATTTTTACTTTTATAAAATGACCAAAAATGATCCTCTTTTGTCCACCCAAACCCCACAGCTCCACTTAAGAAAAAAACCATAGAACCATAGAATGTTGTGAGTTGGAAGGGACCCACAAGGATCATGGAGTCCAACTCCTGTCCCTGCACAGGACAATCCCAACATTCAGACCATGTTGTGGATTTGTTCCTCACTGGTTCATAACAAAGTGGAAGGGAACACATAGAGCAAAACATCTGTGTGATGGAGTCCCCAAGTCAGCAGAAATGCCCAGCTCAGAACTCCATGGTGGCCTTGCTGGAAGGCATTACCAGTTGTGTGTTGAAACACAAAGGTCATTAGTTTTCTGTTTCACTTTTGTCAAATGTGACCTTTTGTTTCTCTCTCTCTCTCTGAGTCTGTTGGGGTTTTGGTTGGGTTTTGTGTGTTGTGTATTTTGGTGGGTTTTGGGGGTTGTTTTTTTTTGTTTTAGTCTTGATCTTACAATGTTTTACTATGATTGTATCTTGCACAGTTGCTTCAGGGTGCAAAAGAGACTTGTCTCTAATTAAACAGAACAGGAAAGTCCAGTTTCTTGAAGATTAAACCATTTTTTCCTAGAGATGAACCTGGCTCCACTGAGATAAATTGTCTCTGGCACTTGGCTCACCCACCCCTTGAATTCATACCCTGCACATAAGAACCCTTTTTTGGAAGGCGTTGTGGGTTTAATTTCTAGTGACTCGCCTCAGAAGTAAATCAGAAACCTCAGTGTATCACCTGTGAAGTTATGGAGACCTGCCCAGAGGGACCTAATAAAATGCAAAGGATCAGGCATGATGAGCCTGAGGTTACTTCAAAGCCTGTCCCTGTCAAATTAAGAAACTAAAAGTTATGTTTTATGAGAATTACTGATTGTAAGTGGATGGGAGAGTAATATTTTCAGTTTGGACCATGTCTGCTGCATACAGATTGGGGACCTGGCTGGAGGAAGGAGCTCTGGACCGTGCTCTTTCCTGATTTAACATCACAGAGTTACATCAGGGTTTGAATGTTCCTCCTGCTGTTTTAGTTATACCCCAGGGCACTCAATTTTGTGGTTATTACTTTTCTGACTCTTAGAGATAGTTCTGAGCCCTGCTGCTTTATTTATTTACTTTTATTATTATTATTATTATTTTAAACTTGGAATGTGAGAAATATAGAGGCTGGAAGTAATACCCTAGACTAGGAGAAACTCTCAAAGTAATTACTGGATGAGGAATTAGTGTTTCACTTTGATCAGGTCTTCCAGGGCTTCTGGTAGCCAAGTTAGCTCTGTTTATGAACGTGCCATCTCATGTCCAGCTGCAGTTGGACATGAGATCTGTGCTGATACCAAGTGAGAAGAGATATGTTGCTAATTTTTGCTTTTTTGGGGGTCTACACTAGCTGATGTTAAAATGCATAAAACACCTGTGAAACCAGAAGTCTGATGGGAATAAGTTTTGAAAAGGCAAACTATTCATGAGCTTCAGGGGGGTGGTGCTTGGGGAGAAGCTGCTAGATCAAATCAAGTCCACTTAACAAAGTTGTTAAAGAATTGATGAGCCAGAGAGCTGCTGGGATGAGATTTCACAGTGATGCATCATGTAGATCTGAAGCTTTTAGTGCAAATGTAAACAGAAGATAGAAGGGACAAGGCAGATGCACAAATGCATGTTCTCTAGGTTCTGGCTTCTGTGTTTGCAAGGACTTTTATTTTTCATTAAGCTGCTTGTCTTTTGGTAAGAAACCATCACTGGGGAACCTAATATATTGCATTAAGCACAAGGCTGAGAGGTGTTTCTAGATTTCCCAGCACTTGGACTTGGCTCACAAAAAACCAACCAACACTGGCCTGCAAAGCAGACAGTGAATAACTTCTGGATTGTCCTAAAGATCTTCTGACTGCAAGAGAACACCATAAAAATGAGAATCCTAAGTGCTTTTGAGCATACAGTATTGCACCATGGGACTGAAGTCAGCTTTGCAACAAGAACAGTCTGTGTCAGCTTCATTTGGCTTCGTTTTGGGCACAGACTCTTGTTTTGCACTCTTGTAAAATGGATTCGGTAGCCCCTGAAACTTTACAGCATGAAAATGTGGGTCCTCTGGGTTAAAGGCAGCTGCTGCTCTTTTTGGAACAGCATTGCTGAAACTAAAACCATACATGAGTTGTGAAAAAGAAACATGAAACATTGATTTGTGGAAACTTGTGATAAACCTGTAACTATCACTAGGAGGTGAGGCAGGATTTTTGACCAACCTACGAGACATCACTCCTCAGGATATTCACCATGGATGTGGGGGGTACCCGTGTTCAACTGTTGGCTCTCAAACATGAATTTGAATGTGAGACTGCTGTGTCCCACATGTGAACCAGTTGGCTGTTTGGTACCCTCATAGAATCATAGAATGGTTTGGGTTGGAAGGCACCTTAACGCTCATCCAGTTCCAACCCCCCTGCCATCAGCAGGGACACCTTCCACTAGACCAGGTTGCTCAAAGCTTCATTCAACCTGGGCACAAACACTTCCAGGGAGGAGCAGCCACAGCTTCTCTGGGCAACCTGGGACACTGTCTCATCACCCTCACAGCAAAGAATTTAATTTTGGGAGACAAGACATAATAAGCAGATTTTGACTCTCCATAAAATGTGTAATGAAAGCAAGTTCTGAAATGCAGATGGTCCATCTTCTTTTTCTCATCAGCCCTAATGGCTGCTCGTGGGGTTTTTTTTTCTGCAGTAACTCTTACAAATCTGTAAGGCAGACTGCACAATGTAAGTGTAAATCAGTTTGGGAATGATAACGAAGCTATCAGAGATAATCTGGGAATGGCTGCTTCCACTTCTGCACAGACCTGTGCTGGAGCTTGGGTGAACATGTGTCTCCCAGTAATCAGTAAATGAAATGCAATTAGCAGGGTGATGGGATTAATCACTTGATCACCACCTTAGACCTCTTAGTGACTATGCCGAGATCCCTTGATGGATGATGATGTGAATTTGCAAAGCATCGTTCATTCTCATCACTTGTTCTTTGCCCTCCTGTGGTGAAATTAAAAACAAAACAGACTCTGAGCAGGGAAAAAAAAAAAAAAAAGAAGCCACGGAGAAAACTCCAGCAGTAAGAATAAATTATAGAGTTAACTAGTTCAGCAAAATCCAGCAACATCATTCTGCTGTGAGCAGCCAAAGTCCCTGCTCATCTGACTCTTCTTGTTTTGTCATTTGAGCCCAGGCTCCTTTTCTTCTGCTTCCCCTGCAAAAGCAGGAAGACAAATGGAACAGGGTGGTGTGTGCAGTTTTCCAGTGGGGAAAAATCACTTACAGCTCTGATAATTGACAACAAAACACCATTTTGCCCATTCCAAGCAGATAGTTTGAATTCTCTCTTCATTTCCGAAGTGCATGGTGCACAGCATTTCAGACTGCTTATAAATCATTGCTTGGGGATCACCATAGTGCTTCTGGCCCCATCTGCCTGCCTTCTGTTTCAGAAAAACCTTCAATAATCTTCTCACACAAAAAAACATCCAGACTTCTCTTGTCTTTGTTTCTACTTGTTGCTTCAGCCACCTTTGTTGGTAACACGTACCACTTGTTTATTCCCCTCCATGTGGTGTGGTCTTACCAGGTTCTCTCCTGGTTTTTTCACATGGTGACAAAACCTGAGTTCACTTCTAAACGTTCATGTTTTGTGAAATCATCTTTGAGTCTGTGGGCTAATTCTTGAGATCCTTGAATTTCAGAAGGGCTGACTCTTCAGTGGTGATTTCTCTTTATGGCTATAAGAACATCACAAATGGCCATCTAGTTCAGACTTATGGTTCCTCAAGCCCACTATTTTGTCTCCAAGAACAGAAATGAATGGAATTTTGGGAGGGGGTGTGAGCCTAGCCACTTTCTGCTCTGTTCCCATAGGAGTTCCTCAGCACCAATGTTTGGTATTTTAAGGATGTTAGAGGGCAGATCCCTGCCTGTTCCTTTTCCTGTTCTTTCTGGACTGAAGCAGCATCAAGCTGGCATCAGTGTAGCTGGGAATTGGTCCCAAAGGCAGACTGAGTCCTGAGCTCTTTGATGCCAGCGAGTGCTTTCCTGCCCTGGGAGATTTGTTCCCTTCAACACTCTCTTCCTCTCTGTTTGGGTTTTCCCTCTAGCTATGTACCAGTTTTCTGTGGCACCTCTGGGCAGGAGGGACTGAGGTGGGATCCCACAGGAGTCCTGACACTCATCACAAGCAGGGAATGCTCCACCACACCTGAGTGCTCTGGGTAGTCAAGATCCCAGGGGCAGCTCTGGCAGCTCAGACATCAGTCTCTCTAGGGATGAAACCTCTGAAGTCCATCTCCCCACTTGCAGTGCTGCCTCCAGTTCTGGGTCCCCAACACAAGGAGGACATGGACCTACTGGAGCCAGTCCAGAGAAGGCCACCAGGATGATGCGAGGGCTGGAGCAGCTCTGCTGTGAGGACAGGCTGAGAGAGTTGGGGCTGTTCAGCCTGGAGAAGAGAAGGCTCCAGGGAGACCTTCTAGTGGCCTCCCAGTACCTGAAGGGGCTCCAGGAAAGCTGGGGAGGGACTTGTGACACGGGCAGGGAGTGACAGAACAAGGGGTGATGGCTTGAAACTGGCAGAGGGGAGACTGAGATGAGATGTGAGGAAGAAATTCTTTGCTGTGAGGGTGGTCAGACACTGGCCCAGGTTGTCCAGAGAAGCTGTGGCTGCTCCTCCCTGGAAGTGTTCAAGGCCAGGTTGGATGAGGCTTTGAGCAACCTGGTCTAGTGGAAGGTGTCCCTGCTGATGGCAGGGGGGTTGGAACTGGATGAGCTTTAAGGTCCCTTCCAACCCAAACCATTCTGTGATTCTATGATCTGATTTACATCTGTGGGGTGGGTGGTGGTGGCACAATGAATCACTCAGGCTTGGTAACATCACAGCAACAAGATGCCTTTAGCAGGACCAAAGACCAGACTTTTAGACTGAAGCAGCAGAAGGTTGCAAGGGCAACAAGCTGAAAATACAGTTTCAGCTTAAATTGAATAACCGTGTGCCTCTCTGTTTGCTTTCATTTCTCTTCCCTCAAAAGATGATGACATAAGGGTAATGGTTTTCCTTCAAACTGGATGCCTGTTTCTCTTTTGTGACCACTCAATCTGCTGGCTGTTGCTTTCTGTCAAGTCTGCAGTGGGCCCTTAATTTAAGAATATGAACGTACACGTGTTAAATACTGTACAAGCCATGGATCTTACTTACATAATCAATTTAAAATGATGATGATGTGTTATCAACTTTCTCTACAGGTTCTGCACGGTTAATACTTAACTCAGTGCAAGCATTGTGTAGAGGGGGACATCAACCAAAGCTAATTTTGTCCTGAAATGCAGAATACTCTGAAAAAAGTCAATTTTTAGTCATAGCTGTAAATATTTGAGTATATCTAAAATGAGCCATGTTCGTATTACAGTGAAATGGTTTCTGTTGCATGAGGTGGGTGTGTGCATATGTAGGTGTGTGCATGTGATGCATTCATCTGTGTCAGGACAGTTTAACCCTGCATTGTGAGTGACCTGCAGAAGTGAATTGTATCACTTTTTCCATCAAAGTAAGCTTTGCTGTTTTCACCTGCTGCAGATTTATCAGGGGATGCTGCTGAGTCCTGTAACCTTAGTCCCTTTTATCCATTAGAACCAGGCAGAAGAGTCTCAAGCTCCCACGTCCTATGACAAGGTCAGAGAGGGGCTGTGCCTGCTCCAGTTTACTGTCTCATAGGGTTTGTTTTTTAATAGTCAAGGAAAAAAAGAGTTTCCTTAGTTATCTTTTCCATCTCTTTAGTGACTAGCAAACCCCTGTGTTCCTATTACCTCTCGCACGCACCTAATGGTATATCTGTGTTTGATTTTCTTTTTGCATCTTCTCTCTTCCAGTTCTTCATGTTTATTTTGTTAATCTTCCTGGCGGAGCTTTCAGCTGCAATCCTGGCTTTTATCTTCAGAGAAAATGTAAGTATCCAATGGTGAGCAAACTCTGAACCCCAGTGGGGTTGTACCCAGCTGGAGCACAGTGGTAGATGGTGGCTGATTCGTTTGTAGAGCAACCGTTTGTTTCAAATACCAACAAACCTGCATCGTTTCTACCCTCGGTCTACAGAACTGCCAGTGAATGTTGAATAACCTGGTCTGTGCAGGGTGCAGGGTGGGTTATGTGCACAGGAGATAGACACTGGGGGACTGACTACCTAAATCCTGAAGTTTCTAGAGTCTTCCTCATTCTTTTGTAGCCAAACCAGCTGCGCGTTCCATCAGAGAGAGTTTTTATAATAAACATGTGCTTGCTCTGCAATGTGAAAACTCTCTTGTGCATCTTCTAATCGTATTCCTTCTTGAATTTTCATGTTCTGGTGCTCACCAGGTTCCTCTTGATGCTGCTTGTAAGCCATCCCTCCTGACCTACCCTGAGAAGATCTCTCCATATCCCATTTTGAGTCCCATCAATGATCCCTTGCATATTGCCCTGCTTACAAGTTTATGGTCCTTCTGTCCACAGCTTCATATCACAGAATCAAAGAATCATTAAGGTTGGGAAGGACCTCTAAGATCATCCACTCCAACCTTCAACTCATCACCACCATGCCCACTAAACCATGTCCCTGAGTGCTACATCTGCATGTTCTTTAAACACCTCCAGGGATGGGGACTCCACCACTGCCCTGGGCAACCCCTTCCAATGCCTCAGAACCCTTTCAGCAAAGAAATTCTTCCTCACATCCCATCTCAACTGCCCTTGGCGCAACTTGAGGCCATTTCCTCTTGTCCTGTCACTTGTTCCTTGGTTGAACAGACCCACCCCCACCTCTCTCCACCCTCCTTGCAGGGACTTGCACAGAGCCAGAAGGTCTCCCCTCAGCCTCCTTTTCTCCAGGCTCAACACCCCCAGTTCCCTCAGCCGGGAACTCAGCACACTTGTGCTCCAGACCCTTCCCCAGCTCCGTTGCCCTTCTCTGGACACACTCCAGCAACCTTGTGTGTTATCTTGCAAGATAAGGTCTCAGTGATTATTCTAGACTTCTGTGGCATCTGGCGGTGTTTTGTGAGATAAAACTTGAAGGGGAACAAACTTCGATCTTTTTTAAACTTGTCTCCATGTTTGTGTCACCAGCTTCCCACTCTGTCAGAATGACTGACAGGAAGGGTTTAAATGGGAAGGAATGAAGAATGTCAGATCCCAACATAGCTGGAGATGGCTCTATGCAGAAGTTAAACTCAGTCTGCAAATCCTTGTGGTTTGTTCTCTCCTCAGGTTTCTTCTGGAAAAAACAATACAACCTTGTTTTGCTGTTGCTGTATATTTTGCTGGTAGCTCCTCTGGCTTGGTGACTACTCATGGCTAATTTTGCTGTCATCTTTGGGTTAGGGTGAGGCTAGATGTCTGGACGGGATGTCTGAGGGGACAGAGGTGGTCTTTCAGTGACCCTGTGTTGGGAAGAATTCTCCACAGTAGCAATTTAAGGTGAGGTTCAGATATGCTTTTCTTTTCTCTGTGAAATGAGTTACTTTCAAGGTGTGTAGTGGAAAATGCACATTTAGGCAACCTAAATTTCATGGAGGCTTACCAAGTGGGTTCCTGTGATGGTCATTGCACCAGTCCATGTGAGTGTGACCTCACTGGGTGCATTAAATGAGATAAAAGAGAAAACTACACTCTATCCATTCATCTTCCAGATAATGTTTGGTGCAGCTTTCTCTTGTACAGTGTTTTAATTCCAAACACTCAACAGAGTTAAATTATTAATAGCTGAGGAGAGACAAAAATCAGGGAGGAGAGAGATGTTTTCTGCTGAGATCTGAGATGAGAGGAAGAGTCAGCGAAGCAGAATGTGGCGGTGGGGTTAGTGACAGTGATATTAGTGATGGTGTGCTACAGTGATCTGCGAGTCCAGTCGCACTCCCAAAGAGCTGTTTAAAAGCTCTTCTCTGAAGAAGAGGCTGTTGTTAAGAAGCTGTGGGAGTACTAGAGTTTCTCTTCCTTTGTAAAGGAGGTTTTGGGGTGTGGAGAACCCTTTTTCATCTAGAAGACCCCCCCCCCATAAAATAACGTCTTCTATGAAGAATAGGGAGAGGCTGTGGAAGAGCAATTTGACTGATGTACAGGAATTGCTCTATGTGCTCTTCTGAGGTCTGGATGGGGAAAAAACCCTGGAGGGATATTTGACTCTTTTTTAGTGAGTTGTCTTAGCAAGTAAGGAAGTGGGATGGTAGGAAGAGATGAGCCCAGTGGTAGGGCTCTGGATGGAGTCAGGTTATTTGGATTTTTTTAACCCAGGTTCTGACACTTAATAGACAAGTCACTTTGGTTCCTGATACCTCTGTTTCCTCAGATGTAGGGCAGAAACCAAAGAACATGAACCGTCCATCCCTCAGTTGAGTAGCTGGAGGTCTCTTGGATGGAAGTCACTATGGGAGTGAGAAGTGCAACACAACCTGTGTTGTGCAAAAATGTTTGGTTTTTTTTTCCATAAACCCCCTTCATCTGGCTGCAATAATTCCAGCCAAGCTATTTTTTGAACCAGTGTGAAAAAACAACCCCACTTCATTCACTGGCATGTGCTTCTTCTGTACTTGGAGATGTTCCTCTCAGAACAGCAAGAAGAAAACACAACTGCATGGCTCTTTATCATTCAGGACTGTGGCTGATAGAACTGTGTGTGCAAAGATCTAATTTTATTAGTAGGTCCTTTGCTCCCTTCTGAATAGTTCGTGCCGTGGTACTCCACCGTGCAAAGACCTGATCAGTGCTGTTAGGAGGCCATGGGCATGTGAGAGAGACATCTTGCTGACTTTTATCCTCCTTTGTCAGCAATTTTTAAAAAGAAAGATGCTTCTGTTCATGAATTTTTATATATATATATATTTATTTATTTATTTTAACATTTTTCTGAACTTCAGGTGCTCAGGACAAGCAGTTTAAGAGCAACAAAATGGAATCAGTTATTTTCCTGGCAACCTTATCCTTCCAGCCCTAGGCTTTATTTTAGTCCAAGTCTCGTAAAAATCGCATACAAACTCTGAACAATTTCCTCTGGGGTTGCTGCTGTCAAAATAAAGGTTTCACTTTATATTTAAATGACTCTTTTTGTTTTCGAGCCTGCCAAAGGCACTCGGCTGGGATTATTACCAACGGTAATATCAGTTTCAAAGTCCACGCTTCAGAAACAGACAAGCATCAAAAAAAAAATGTGCTGCTGTCTCGGCAGGGGAGGATGCTGCTGGGATAAAGGATGTGGAGAAAGAGAAGGAAAGGAGAACACTGAGGATGTGTTTCAGCATCTTCTAACCTCAGCGAGCCAAATTCCCAAAGGAAAATATCATTCATAGAATCATCAAATTATTTGGGTTGAAGGGACCTTTCAAGGTCCATCTAGTCCAACCCCCCTGCAGTGACAGGGACATCTTCAAGCAGATCAGGTTGCTCAGAGCCCCATCCAACCTGACCCTGAATATCTCCAGGGATGGGGCTTCTACCACCTCTCTGGGCAACCTGGGCCAGGGTTTCAATATTCAAAAGCAAAAAAAAATGAATTAATCTCTGTCTCATAAAAATGATTTAGGAACTTAGCAGCGTATCTCATTAAAGGGTAGTGAGATCGAGGTGCCTACATCATTCAAGTCTTCATGGCCAAGTTTTACCCAGTATTGATTTAGTCATTATATTTGGCCTTAGTTTGTATTTGTAAAAGATAAGTCAATACTAAGTGGTATTTGGGGTCTTTAAAAGAGTCACCGTAACCTTTTCTCTTTATTCCCTGAAATTTCGTGATAGAATTACAAAGGAAACAAACAATTTTGTGCTGGTTCTTTTGTGCCCACACATACATCTCATAAATATGTATGTGTATGTGCGATATTTCATGTTGCATATCAAGAACCTGAAACCAACTCGTAGCATTATCTGTTACTGCATCTGCAGTGCTGTATGAACAACAGGGAGGGGGGAAAAAAGGTCCTTTTCAAGGAGCTTCATTTCTGATCCTTCAAATATCCAGATTTTTGGTGCTGTGTCCAGCCATATCCAACCTCCTTCACTGAGGCTTCCCAGTGGTAAAGGGATTTTGCTTGTGTGGATCACAAATCTCGAGGTATTTTAGAGAAGGGACCACACAAATCAAGACCTATTTGGAATCTGAAAAGGAAATTCCTTGAAGTTTTCATCCTGAAGTGAAAGGAAGGTGGAAAGATTGGAGTATTTGGTTTAAGAAGGCTTTTAAGGTTATATATTTACTAGTCTTCCAGAGAGTGATCCTAAGTAAATGTAATTTCAACTTTTTGACTTTTTTTTTTTATTTTACTCTGGGCAGAAATGTCGGTTCCGTTTTTCTATTTTATTATAAATGCAAACAGGAGTAAATGAAATTCAATTTGTTTTTATCATTGACCTTAGGAGAAATTATTTAAATTATCCAAACACTGGAAATATAAAGAGGATTTTTTTCTTTGTTTTTGTGGGTCAGTTTAGATAATCTAAAGCATTGTCAGGGAAATAGCCCTTTTTCTTTCTGATTTGTAAGTTGACTTGGAACATTTCCTATTCATTCCATGGTTTTTAACTTCTTTTTCATTCCCAGCAAGTTTGGTATTAGAGCTTGATTCTGATTTCTCACACATGGAAGTAAATTCAGAGCAGTTCCCCTGTCATTAGTAGGAAGTTAACTGGTGTAAAATGAGAAGTGAGGGGAAAATCATGCTTCAATTGCAGCCCTTATGAAGCATGGTAAATTAAGCTGGGTATGGATTTGAAGATATTTTTTTTAGTCCTGTTTCAACTCAGGAAACACTTTGAAATAGCGCTGAATATTTTAAAAGTATTAAACCTTTAAATGCAAACGTTAGCTTACAAGTACAGATATAATTCAATCCTTGGTTTTTAATGAGCAACAGTTTTATTGAACAAGTGCCATTCACCCTGGATATAGTTCTGGTTCAACCAGTGGCTTTCCTCATGTTTCTCCTCTGAGGTTTGCAAAAAATAAAACCCAAAACAAAGCAAAACAAAAAAACAGTAAAAGCAAAATGACCCAAAAACCCTCAGCATTCACAAAAAGAGAGCTTTGGGAAGTGCTTGGGAAAGTGGTGTTGGCAGTAACCTTTGCATTTCCACCCACCTGTGCCTTTCAGCTGACCAGAGAGTTTTTCACCAAGGAACTGAAGAAGCATTACCTGAGGAACAACGACACGGATGTCTTCTCCTCCACCTGGAACTCTGTTATGATCACAGTAAGTCATGCCGTGCCAGCCCAGCTGTCCATGGTCAGTAGCCACCAAGAGGGTGCTCAGCTTTGTGGTTTGCTAAAGACACCGGACTGAGGACCCCCAGCTTTCCAGCAGTGGGATCAGAAAGCCATGGAGCTGTCTGCAATTGAATATCACAGCGTTCACCCTGACCCTTTCACCTTGCCAACCACTTCAGAACTGTTCCCAAACACCAGCCAAAAGTGGTCCTGATGTAGTAGTTTCACTTGGCTGGCAGCCAGACACCACACAGCCACTTGAACCCACCAACCAGGGAACAGGGGAGAGAATTGGAAGGGTAAGGGTGAGAAAATTCATAGGTTGAGATAAGAACAATTTAATAATAGGAATAAAAGAAACTTAAAATAGTAATTTTAATGATAATAGTAATATATATAAATGAGTGATGCACAGTACAGTTGCTCACCACCCCCCAATAGTGATCACAGAGGAGCAAAAAGAAACCCAGAAACTGTAACCCTGGAAGAGCAAGCCTGAATGATTCCCGAGAGAATCCCCCTGCCTTCCACTCAACCCTCATTAATACACTGACCATGATGTGATATGATCTGGAATATCTCATTAGCATATCCAAATGTCAATTTTGAGTTTTGCTAATTACTACACTTTCCCCCCTTCCCAAGTCCTTTGCACTTGCAAACTAGCAAAACGCGATGTCCTTGGACTTCCAGCAGCAGCTAAAAACATCAGTATGTTCTCAACGTTCTTCTCATAACAAATCCCACACTGAAACCAAACCACAGTGCTGTTCTGGCTACTAAGCAGAAAATTAACCCTGTCCTAGTGGAACCAGGACACCTTCCTGATGGCTTTTTGTTTGCTCTTGTGAATGAGTTGGTAGGTGGCAGATGAGGCAGGGGTTTACCTAATGGTATATTTTCAGTATAGAAATATTAACCATCAAAATTGACTTTGTTGTTACAGTCCTAATCAGGCAGGTTACAAACTGACTGTGTCATTGGAATTGGAGTTGTTCTTTCCTACCAGAAGTTCTGTGTGTGTGTGTGTGTCTGTGGACACACATGATTGTGCTGCTCAGTACAGCCCGTGGTGTGTCTCTTCAGGAGTAGCAGGATGTCAGGCTCTGCAGATGAAAAGTCAATTTTAGTCTTAAAAGGAAAAGATGATTGCTGCCCTTCATGCTGATTCAGGACTTCAATAAAGACATTTCCTTTTGCTGACTGAAAGGAGACAGAGTCAGAGTATGACTTGAATCCTTAAAAAGAGCCTGACTTGAATCCTAAGAAAGGATTTTACTGGAATCACCTTTGGGCAGCAGCAATCCTGACCATTTAGCTGTGGGGAGAACAGGAGGTTGGCAGCCTGGATTGTCCTGCTGGCTCCCTTACAGGTTTGCTGGGTGATCTCAAACAAGTCCTTCTGGATGTGCTCCAAAGCCTTGTGTTGTTCATGGCAATATTCCCAGTGGTACCTTAGAGTCTAGAGTATGACATGGGAGCAGTGGGACTTTATAAAAAGGCTTTGATGAAAGAGAAGCTCCAAGGTACCAAACACAACCCACTTTGGAGACAACAGTTGTTTTGTCTCTGCTTTGACTAAAGCTTTGCCCTGAAAGTAGATACGAGAAATCTACCAAAAGATCTATTCTTGTAGGGATCAAAGTGTCAACTCTGTCTTCTTTTCTTCTCCGTGCCTCTCCCTAGTTTGCCTGCTGTGGAGTGAATGGACCAGAAGATTTTGAAGCTATCCCTCATCTTCCATACACCTCTTTGGAAAATGCAATACCAGAGGCTTGCTGCCAGCGAGAGCTCCAGAGCCGGGAGGGGATGATTGTCAACAAGGAAGCCTGCCTCGCTGGCATCGAGAGGTTTCAGAACCGACAGGTAAGGGAAACCAAATGCCAGGAGAAGGAGTGTCACAGCAGGCAGGAGGGATGGCTGGGGTGGTCATGGGTGGCTGGTAAAGCTGGTGGCTCGTGCCATTCTGAGTGGAGCTCACATCCTAATTACACTTCTGCTGACGGCTTTAGGAGTCGTGGGACGTGTCTGATTTTGAAACCCCCCTTCCATTGTGTGTGTTTTGTGCTGTATCAGCAGAAACAGGAAGATTTTTTTTTTCCCCAAGGGATAGAGAAGTGGGATGGAAATTTACATCAAGTTTTCTCATGTTCCTGAAGATTAGTATTATCTCTGAGAAGTTGATGAGGAAGCCAGCACGGGTCAGTGAGGATGGGATGAAGTTGGCTCTTACTGGCTGTGATAGTTCTCAGACTCCTCATCAACAGCAATATGCAACCAAGAGGTTGAGGGTTAAACAGACACAGCAAACCATATCTGGTTTCCAATCAAGTGTTGGAAAGCTGCAAATCTTTGCTTTTCTACTTTTTTATGGTAGAAAAAGGGGATTTCTTTTGCCAGGTCTCTCGACTTGGTGATTTTTTCCCAATACTAGACTGGAACAAGACATGTCATTGCCACTAATGTGGCAATGTAGGTTGTAGGTGTGACATTCCCACCCCACTACAGCAAACAGTCATATTTCTTGACATTGTCACCAAGATGTGAAGTTTAAGAAACTTTCTAGCAAAGCTCCAGGCTGTGTTCACCTCAGCATGAATCAGCCAGCTGAGGTCTGTAGGGACCATATGTACAAGCCTCCTTTTCTCTCCAGAGTAAGCAGTGGTCCTCTTCTAGCACTTGGTAGCAGATTGTGAAAGAGAGTAAAGGAGTTTGGAAGGAGCATGTGAGGTGTTCCTCTCCTGGCAGCTGGAAATGGTTGGCAGAGGCACTGTGGTTAAGAGAGCATAGACAGCACCACAGTGCTTCTGCCAGGTCTGAATGCTGTGAAAAGATGGGAGAGAGAGAGAGATGACAAACAGCAGGGACAGAAAGAGAAATGTACTTTGAATCATAGAATCATAAGGTTGGAAAAGACCTGTAAGATCATCCAGTCCAACCATCAATGCAACACCACCATGTCCAGTAAACCATGTCCCCGAGTGCTATGTCTACATGTTTTTTAAACACCTCCAGGGATGGGGACTCCACCACTGCCCTGGGCAACCCCTTCCAATGCCTCAGAACCCTTTCAGCAAAGAAATTCTTCCTCACATCCCATCTCAACTGCCCTGGACACAACTTGAGGCCATTTCCTCTTGTCCTGTCACTTGGTCCTTGGTTGAACAGACCCACCCCCACCTCTCTCCACCCTCCTTTCAGGGAGAGAGCCAGAAGGTCTCCCCTCAGCCTCCTTTTCTCCAGGCTCAACAACCCCAGGGTTCCCTCAGCTGCTCCTCATCACACTTGAGCTCCAGACCCTTCACCAGCTTCGTTGCCCCATAGTAAATGACATTAAAGATGATGGTGGCTGTGCTGTGTAAGTGGAAGGATTGTTGTAGTGCCTGGCCCCGAGTTCTTACAGAAATTAATTCTCCTGTAGCCAGAAGATCAGCAGGTGTTCATCCATCCTCCTTTAGGTCAAGGCTCAGAGAAATGGTCCTGGGATGTGAAAGAGCTGCTGGCTATCAGAGAGGATTCAAGAATCTCTGGTCTTGGCTTTAAATTGTCCTTATCCCTGGCCAGCTTGGGCTGTCACCTACCCTGAGGGTCCCTTCCTCTGTGCTTGGTCTCTGCCCTTTGCAGAGGGAGTGCCTCACCTGTGCTGCTCCTCTCTGCCCTGCAAGAAGCCACAGGTCCTCGTGGTCAGTGAGAGGTTGTAGGTGTGACATTCCCACCCCACTACAACAAAACCCTCCCCTCCCTGGCATTGTCCTGGGGGTCTCTGCCCCCCTGGGCTGGGTGAGTGGGTGAGAGGGAGCTGTGCTTGAGATGCCTGGATGTGAGAGCACCTCTTTTGCAATGGAAGAACACGAATGTGCTGCTCAGGTGTGTCTCACCAGACTTTTTGTCCATCCCAGGGCTGCTACACCGTGATCCTGAACTCCTTTGAGACCTATGTGTACCTTGCAGGAGCCCTTGCCATCGGAGTGTTGGCCATTGAGGTACGTACCGTGATGTGACTCGAGGAACAGCACATGACACGTGTCGGTAGATGTCCAGCAGCCAGGCAAGCAGGCAGGGGAAGCTGCTCCTGCAGAGCACGAGAAGGTCATCAACTTGGGGTTTTAATTGCCTAGAAAGAGCTGGGTGCTTGGTCCTTTGCCACAAAAGGCTTTGGGAGATAACGGGTGCCACACGCCTCCGTGCTGCAAGCCTGCACTGCCGCCTCGTGTTGGGCTCGCCGCAGAGCTGCCACGCTGGCCACGGGGGCTTTGGGGACCCACCACAGAGCTGCCACGCTGGCCACAGGGGCTTTGGGGACCCACCAC